TGTGTGAGAGTGTGTGTGTGTGTGAGTGTGTGTGCATTCTGTATCAGCGAGGACAAATATGCTGTCTTATGGTATGTTGGTATGTGGGATGCTACATGTGTGGAAGCGATTGAGTGAGTGTGTGTGTGTTTTGTCTGTGTGTCGGCACGTGAATGCAAATATCAGCAAGGCTCTTCCTCTTCCTTCCCCCTGCAGCTTCCTTTCATCCTGATGTTTTCTCGTCTCGTCTCCATCTGGTTGTTGCTCTATATTTATCCAGCCAGGGATGACCCCGCCCCTCCCCCACCCATCTGACAGTGCTATTTTCAGTCACACACCGCGTTCGGTGGAGGATGCGCTACTGCTGCGGCTGTACGTGCATAAATATATGTGTGTGTGTGTAAGGTGCTGACAATAATATGGAGTTTTATGTGCATCGCAAGTGTGAATCAAAGTTTTTTATTTGTGCTTTTTTAAAGTAACAACTGTCAGCGAGTGTCAGCTACAAATCACAATCATTACAGATGACAACCAAAGTTTTCATAGTGATAGTTTCTGCTATACTTGGAGAAAAGGAAGCTATATAGTCCTGGAATTTCTGAACGCACATGGAATGAACTTCCTGATGATCTAAAATGCACCACAACTCTTTTCAATTCATATATTTTCTATCCTGCACACACTAAACAACATTAAAAAAAGTGCAGGACAGAAAATATATGAATAAAAAAAAAGTGGTGCATTTAAGATTATCAGGAAGAGATCTTTACAACTCCACATCTTTGGGGCACAAGTCCAAGCTGTTTATGGTCCAGAGTCTGAGTCAAGTCTCTCTGGTTGTTCTAGGGAATGTACTTTGCTTTGCAATTTGATGTCTCTAATTTAGTTATTTCTGTGTAATACATTTTTTTTTTTTTAAATCTACATGAAGGTATCAGTAAGATCACTTTAAAGTATGATACTTGCTAGCCTACTATATCTGTTGTTATCTTGATATGGATAAGTTGCCAACCAAAGCACTTGCTCTGATATGAAGGGATGCAGGCTGATGCTGCACTGCTGGCATAGTGCATTTACTGGATTTGGGCGTGCACACAGCTTGGATGACTGCTCATTTTGGTTAATGTAGCAACATGAATAGTAGATAACAGACTAGTTGTAATGAAGGATTGCAAGTGTAGTGAAGTTCAAAATAGAAACTGACTCAAAAACACGTCAATGTTTAAATGTCACTGTAATGAGTTACTACCCACCCCCGATTACTGCGCTGCAACTGCGCTTATACTCAGTATTTGGGAGTTACATGTTACAGAGCAATACACAGAAACTGACACTGAAAGCAGCACATTTGTCCAATACTACTTCACTGTGTGTTCAGGGAGCTTATTTTAGTTCTTCTATCCAGACAAATCCACCTAGAAGCACACCCAATTTACATAATATTTTTGTGACATTTAAACAGTTTGTTCAACCTGCAAGGAAATTGGATGGAAACATTTAAAAATGGCTGGAGAGGCTTGGCAGGTGTGAAAAAATAGCTGTAAAAGTCTTGCTTTACCCCTCCATCCATTAATGAACTGCATTCTTTCATTTACTTGCATTTACCCTCTTTTTTCACTCACTTTAGAGCGATTAGCTCTTTATCATCAGATAATTAAGTGGACTTCCAGCCATCAGGGGGGATTGGTGGTTATAATCAAGCAACAATCAGCATAATTCCAAATTTATATTGTAAGAACATAGCATATCTTTTGTATACTAGACTGTATAGTGTATAAAACTACACTTATCTATGGGAAGCTGCCAAGGCGCTTAAAGAATTGAACATTTGGCAAAAAGAAGGAAGGATTTCCAAACATCATGTATCCCATAGGCCCATCTACTCAAGCCAGGAAAACACAGGTCAACTATTGAAGTATTTTTCATGCTGATATACTGTCTCGTCCCTTGATACAGTACTCTGGATCTCTGCTCTAATTAACAAGTTTACTCACAGTGAAAATGTGACTTAGTTATTTCCATTATGCTGGTTATTCATGTGTACGCTACAGCTGAGATCCATCTGTAAATCCCTGGCATCTGAATCGTCCATGTTTAGCTCATGTCTTTATCTGTTGGCTGCATTTCAAGCAGAAGCCGTGGCTTCCTCCTCACTCCCAGTCCAGATGGCTAATCCTTTTCAAGTGCAAAGCCATCACTCCGGCATTGCGTAAAATGTTGGGTGGAGGAGGTCACTACACAGCTGAGACTAATCTAAAAAACAGAAGGAGTCTTCTTGTGGATCTTACCCAGAATTCTCTTTAAGGCATTTAGAAAATGATACGATTAATCTCCAAAGCACTTATAATATGTAATAATAATAATAATAATATGGTGATATTAATGATAATAATAAATTTACAAATGAAAACACCCAGAAAGCTGTACTCTTTTACAATAACAGTTTACAGAAGCTCATTACATAGGAATATTACATGGAAGTAAAAAAAAAGTACGCGTCAAACCATTTTTCCCCAAAGATGGTATGTTGTTGTGTTAATTTTTGGTTGTAATTAGTTATTTGAAGCTATAATAAGGGGGTTTCACATCATGATTGACAGCTGAGCCCTGCTTGCTAATGTTGGACATATGGGCGGGACCTTGATACCGCAGCGCCAACCTTGACTCTGGCTACGAATGGCAAAAGAGGACAGCATATCTGTGATATTTTGTCTTCATTTTTGTACACTTTGAGGAAGTGGAGATGCGATGTTCATGTTTTATTTGCTTGATAAACTCATTCTAAGGTAATGAAAACACAAAATCATCCAAATGCAACTGCAGGAATAAAGGCTCTAACGGGGTCTTATTTGCTTACAGTAATTACACGGTGGGTCGTTGCAACCTTTTTCTCTGTATTTGTGTGCTAATTAGATGGTTGGAGGGAGGGGGCTGCGTTTCCAAGCATAGACCATACAGATTCTGGGTTGGAAGGGAGTTGTTGCTTCAAGTGAAGGAGATGAAGATGTAACGCAACAGTTGGTTTATTGGGCATCAGCAGAAATAGAGGTTGGAGGGAGTAAAGTGGGAGCTGGAGAGCCAATATACCAGTCGATCTACGTTCCCTCACCTACAGTATGGTGATGAGCTTTGAGTAGAATGAGAGATAAAAGCAGCCAAAATAAGTTTCCTTTCAGCCCAGCCTAATACTTAAAGAGTAGAGCTCAGACATCCATATGGTCCTTCTTGTTAAAAAGAGCATATTGAGGTTGTTCGGGCATCTAATCAGGATGCCTCTGAACAGACCCAGAATATGCTGGAGATATTACATAATTCCATCTTGGAGGTGGAGGAGGAGG